CTCACCACCCTCACAGTGAAAAATTTCTTCCTAATGTCTAGTCTAAATCTGCCCTCTTTCAGCTTGTACCCGTTACCCCTTGTCCTCTCACCACACTCCCTGATAAAGAGTGCCTCCCCATCTCTCCTGTAGCCCCCTTCAGGTACTGGAAGGCTGCTATTAAGTGTCCTCGGAGCCTTCTTTTCTCCAGGCTAACTCCAGTTCTCTCAGCCTGCCTCATAGGGGAGGTGCTCTAGCCCTCTGACCAATTTTGTGGCTCTCCTCTGGATTCTCTCCAACAGGTCCAGGTCTTTTTTATGTTGGGGGCCCCACATCTGAATACAGTCCTCCAGGTGGGGTCTCACGAGAGCAGAGTAGAGGAGAAGAATCACCTCCTTTGACCTGCTGCTAATGCTTCTTTTGATGGAGCCCAGGACACGGTTGGCTTTCTGGGCTGCAGGTGCACACTGCCGGCTCATGTTGAGCTTCTCATCCACCAATACCCCCAAGTCCTTCTCCTCAGAGCTGCTCACAATCCATTCTCCACCCAGCCTGTATTTGTGCTTGGGATCGCCTCAACCACGTGCAATTTACCCACCTCATGAAGATTAATTAAAACTCAAGTGGTCATATGGTCTTAAACAAACACAGGCAGTTGGACACAGTTTTGCGTGTTCTCTCAACCAGCTGATGGCTCATGAAGCATGAATTTTTAAACCCTTCTGCAGAAATGTCCTTTTCTTATTAAATGCCCTTACAGTGCACCACAAGAATTTTTCTCACGTTGGGTTTTTCTGGGGAATCAGGGTGGTTCTCATAGAATGAGTTCTTTAAACAGGGCCATCCTCACTATAAATGTGTAATTTTAAATTTAATTGGCCTTCCCAGTTGAAGCCGCTTTCATTTTTCTTATGAAACAGTAGAGCTTTACATCGGCCAGTGAGTAGCACTTTTGGTTGAGACGTGGCTGGGAAGTTGGCATCTGAGGAATGGAATTTTCTTGCAAAAAGGAAGAGGAATTAGTTTACTGTAAAACTGGCTAAGAAAAAAGCCGTGGAAAGTTAGTTTGGGGTTTTGTTTTGTTTAGTGCTCCCCATATCCCACTTGCAGAGCCTTGTTGGGTATGAGGTTCCTTCCAGGAACTGAGTCCTTATTTTCTTTTTTTTTTTTTTTTTTTTCTCCTTATGTAGCCATCTCTGCAATGGGTTTATAGTGCACTTAAGCATTGCCTAGGCCTTTTGTACAGTATATTTGATTTAAATGCTTACAAAATACATTTGTATTGCTGGATGCAATAGTTCTCTGCATTATAAATCAGGATTATTACCCTATTTTTCTCACATAACAGGCCTCTTCAATATTAGAGAGATGATACTTCTTTAAAAATTGACTGCTAAAACTAGAAATAGTTTGTTCCTGCTCAAGGTTGTTTGGCCAGCTGTGCTAAAATACCTCTCCACACGTTTGCCCTCCGTAAGGAGGTAGAGCTCACACCCTGTAGGAGAGCAGGGCAAAGCACAGGGTCCCCGCACACACACATGGCTCTCAGGAAGGGAGAGGGATTTTGCATGAAAGGCTTCCGGAGCCTTTCTGAGCACAGAGGTGTGGATGGAAGAGAGCTGGAGCTTGGACCTCCGCCTCAGCAGCCCGCTTCAGGCCACTTCGCAGGCTACTTCCTCGCAGAGTGGTCATGCAACTTGTTTGGGTAGAGGCTCTCCCGCTCTGAGGGTGAAGTGTGTCCATCAGCTCTCTGCAGAAGGTCGTTTCTTTAGAAGACCACAGCGTGAGCAGGAGAAAAACCCGGAGCATTGTTCCCTGAAATATTAAATTCCTCATGACTTGTGGTGATTTACTTTTTTACATGGGACATCCTGAACACTGGTAGAACACGCATCGGCTCCTTTTCTTATTACTTGCTTGCAAGGCCTAGCTGGAGTATAGCCAGCTCATGCTCCTCTGTTGCAACTTCTCAGCTCAAGTTTGCACAGAAACAGCCTCAGCATTTGAAACAAATATACCCAGCTAATGCTAAAAAAGTCAGTAACATTTAAGACATGCGAGTGTAGAGAAGAGATTCCTTGCCGTTGTTGACCTTTGCCTCATTGTACATTTGTGTCTCAGAGCCTTACATCTTCATGTGTACAGATGCAGGTTTGTCCTCCTTGAGCCCCATGTTATGGATGCCAAGCCACATGAACGTTGCCATGTCTATCCAATTTCAAGGAGGTGCTAATGGCCACCTCTCTCACAGGAAGACTGTCACTGCTGGTTTATAATAAGTCAACACCCATGCTGTACTTATCTACCCACAGCTCTTCTCCAGGTGGTTTTTGTTGAGGGATTATACCATCACACTTGCTTTTGCTCTAGGAGAGTAGCATGGCCAACTTAACAAAAGTAATCCAAGGTTTTTATTTCCCCTCTTGTTGCCACTTGTGCTTTGCCGTCAGCTTCCCAACCCATCTATCCTCAACTGGCCTGGATGTCTCTAGCATAGTACCCCCCAGAAAGCATCCTGCCCAGTCAGATGGTATATTTGAAGGACAGATGAAAAGAACTAGCCAGCACAGACAAACCTCAATCAGGAAAAGTTGTGTGTCTTTCATGAGGATGCTGTTTTGCATGTTGCTGTATTTTTTAATTATTGTAATGAGGTGTGATTGTCTATTGGTTACCCACAATACTTCTTGGGGACTCTCCCCCGGTAACTCTTGTCAACACTTGTTAATCTGACAAAAGGCTACAAATTAAGCTCTGTTAATTTAATGTTTTCTCACCGAGATCTAAATACCGAAAGAGGCCCAAAGCGCAACTGAAGTCCTTTGATTCACTGTACTTTATTTTGGTATAAATTTACATTCATTATTGTTTTCCTTTGGATGTGTAGCCCTCAATTAGTGTGATGGCTCCATTAAAGCAAGCGAGACTTCGCCTTTAATTATTACAACAAAACACCTAGTTTCAGCTTGGGGAGAGGGTCTCTATTGACATAAGCAGAGGTTATAAAATTTAATTAGCCATTCCTATCAGATTTATGGCATTCAAATTGTTCTGTGTTTCTTTCCTTTGATCCTTGCTGTACAATCCCCAAGATTTTTGTTCTGATCAAATGAGAATAAAGCTTACTGTGCAGAGAGAAGTTTTTTGTTGTTTGGGTTTGGTTTTTTTTAAACCCTTTTTTCTTTCTATCATTCTCTCCTTCCCTTGTTTTTTGCCAGGCAAGGTCAGCCAGTGTACCCAATCACGACAGGGGGTTTCCGCCACCCTTACCCAACAGCTCTGACCGTCAATGCTTCCATGTCAAGGTGAGTTCAAATGCTGAGGTCCTGAATCAAGAGCAAATGTAACTCCTGCTGCCCTCTCTAGAGGAGGGCATTTCATCTAGGAAGTGTGTTTCTGAAAGCACTTCAGTTAAACAGTGATCCTTAGGTTTTTGGTGGGGCAGAGGAGGAGAGACGAGGGGTACCTTCCCATTTGTGGAGAAAAGGGTGTCCTAGTACTGTCATTGGGTTTTAATGATTTGTTTTTGAGGGAGAGGTAGAAGAGCGGGAAGTCGTCTTTAAATGCCAAAATAAATGAAAAAGCTGGGAGAATATGATGTTGAAAAAGCAAGAAGGAGAAGTCGTGACACCTTTTTCTTTCTTGGTGGCTATCACCCAGAGCAGCGCTCTGTGTGCCAGAGGGGAGGCTCAGGAGGGAGGAGGGCTGCTCTTCAAGCAGAGTTGGGAGGAGGGTTATTGCACTATGTTTTCCCCTACCAAAGCTCCAAACACTGATAGTCAACATAAAAGGGCCTGCCTGACCCTTTAAAGCTTTAGAAGTATATATTTCCCCCCCCTCCCTACATCCAATTAATTCCATCTAATTTTCCAGGGGCTGCTAGTTTTATTTACAAACTGGTTGGCAGCACTATGTTTAAGTAATCACTAATTGCTCCTAATGATAGTTTTATTTTCTGTTCATCTGATTTTCAGTCTGGTTAATTAAATCGGTGGAGGTTTATACTTTCCTGATGGGCTGAAACAGCTAATCCATTTTGATGATGGCACGTAATTAAATTAGCATGCATTACATAGCAAGGTTCTACGTCTCTTCCCTGCTCTGTCCCTTTTCTGCAGTTTAATATGTGAAAGTTGGTGCACAGAGGATTTAAGGAGGAAAAGATTGGGAAGAACCATGCCTCATTGAGAAACGGAAGCCTGTAACTAGAGCTAGTGAATGAATGGGTAGGGAAATACTGTGCTCCAGTGCTTTAGATGAGTACGATAAAAGCAAAAATTAAAATTTGCCTGTGTTGCTCCAGCAAATAGAGAGACAACTGGAAAATCAACTTTAAAAAAAAAATAATCAATAGACTCAGCATGGGGGAGAAAAAAATCCTGGGTTGAGGAGAGAACTGCAAATTTAAACAATGGTTCCCTCCCTCCATTTAATCTTCTTTAATATCTATGAAATACTTGCAGGCATGGTGTGAGGCAAAGTAGAGCTTGATTTAGTTTAATTATTATTAGAGAGGCTAGTCATTTGAGGGAGGGGGGAGATGTGGGAGGGGGGAGGCTATATTCCCAAGATAGGCTTTATGAAAGGTATCTAGTTAAAAAGAGTACACAGCAAATTAAATACATTATTGTGGTAATGGGACGACAGAAGTAGAGGTCTATTATACTTATGGCAGTTATAGGAAATGTAGGCTCCTTGCCCTGTTCTAGCACATCCTTTGATATTCATTCCATTCAGCAGCAGGGCCAGGACTTCTCAGAATTAAGTGATGGGTCATTATACTTTAAACACCATGGAGAAGCCTAGATTGGCAATTAAACAGCACTTGCTGACACTCGCTTGTGCCACCCTGTGACCCCCTTTAGATTGAGTTGTTGGAGCTCGGGGCCCTCAGCCTGCTAAATTGGTAGCAGGCACTTCTCCTGACGAGGGCTGGCTCTGAAATCTGCCGGCTTCAAAGGGAGCAAGATCATGTATAAACCATAATGTGGGTGCACCATGGCTCAAAAAATAAGGCAGGAATAGATGAAATGTTACAAGTGCAAGGGGAAAATGAGAGAATAATGACAAATCTAATGCAACTCAAAGCAGAATTGTTGCACAGAAAAATGCATCCCACTGCTTGTGCATAAAATCAAGGCAGGCAGATGACATCCAGTTAACAGAAACATGTCAACAGTGAAGTAAAGTGAGAGTGAGTAAGAGAGAAGCCCCTGAGACAGCCAGGAACAAAAAATTAGTTGTCCTTAACAAGTTAAGACTCATCATTATATTCTGGCTTGGAGCCATAAAAGGAGACAGTGGCGTATAATGAGCTGCTTAGAATTTTTAGGGTGTTTATTGCAATTCATGGAATACTTGTCTAGAGAAAAAAAAATATAAGGGGATGTCTTGGGCGAAGGTGAGGAGTGTGCATATATGCACAGAGCCTTTCTTTTTGTTTCTGACATGCGCCTGTACACACACACATGCTCAGGCACCTGCAGACTGATGAATAGATTTAAGACGTTTATCATAGAATCATAGGATGGTTTGTCCTTTGTTTCAGCCCAGAAATTTCTCTCCTGGTTTCCCATACATGGGAACACCCTCTGGGCAGACTGTGCTCTGATATGTGGTTCAACGCATGTTTTCTCATGCCTGCCATATCAGCTGGAGGACCTGAGCTCAGCCATGGGACAGCCCTTGCCCTGAGTAGTCAGTGTAGTTGGGAGATAAGGCTGGCATGCCTGGGGATGCAACAGCCCTGCAGAGCCCTGGTACAAGCCTTGGAGTTGCTGTGTTGGCTCTGCCCAAATCTTGAAGGCAGGGCAGACCCCACCACCATCCCTCCATCCACATTTTTCCAGAGCCTTCCTTTAAAAGTGGTTTCCGTTTTTGCCTGCATTATGGTGTAGACCTGTGAAACATATAATGCTTCCCAACCCTGAATATTCCCTAAGCTTAGTAATTACAGCTGAGTAGCTAAGAGTGTGCTTATGAATAGTTTATAAAAGGTTAATGGGTGACTAATAGTGATTTTCATAAATGGTTTAGACTATTAAGGTAGTGTCTTCAGGTTGTTTTAACCATTTACAACTCTTTTCTCTGCTTATAACATCACCCCACTAACTTCTTATACATTGAACATGGTAATAACAGCTCTTGATCCATTATTACCCCTTTATAATATGTCCTAAATGCAAATTGAGACAGGGTTAACTAACTGATGGGCAAACAGTGGACCCACTGTGAAAAAACAACTGCTGTGAGAGGAAATCAGGAAATAATTTAGCAGAATTACACCAGACAAACACTGCATAGCAGTTTAGTGGTGGAGGTGGAAAATACCTTCTGTAATTGAAATTTCAGGGGAAATTCACTTTTGCTGAATGTAATTGCTGAAGTTGGAGTATAGCCAGGAACTTAAAAATTAACTCTCTTCGCCCACTGGTATTGCCATGTAAGTGGAGGTCTACATGGAAAAAAATAGGTACTAGAACTTTGGGCCGAATGCCCACTCAGCCCAATGAAGTCCGTGGGACTGTGAGAGCGACTTTGGGTTCTGGAGCATGTTTTTATAGCCCAACACAGGAAAGGGGTACTTACTCTCTTTCTCCTAAATAGCAACTGGGAAACCATTTTTCCCATAATTAGGGGGGGAAGTTACATTTTTTCCAGATTTTCTTTACCCTCCTCCATTTTTTTATTAGCCAAAGGTACCTAAATCTTCATAAAAAAGAAAGAAATAAAATAACCCCCTATCTTTTGTTGAATTTGTTTCCCTTGAAATCCTGACCATAAACCAATTCACCATCTAGGCAAAGTTAATTTTTCAGTGTGTTTAATTTTTGATGAGATCCTTGTTTGAGAAGCTAGTCCATGACCCAGTTGTCACGGCCACATCATGAGGCCTTCTTCAGAAGCTTAACAAACACCATCTTTCGTCCCCATTAACTGCAGCTGTAATCTATCTGTTGTGGTATTTGGGAGCCCTTCTCCAGTGATGAGTCCAACCTTATTCAGGTCCACTCTCATACCGTTCTGTCCTTGTGCGGCCACTGCACAAGGCACTTCTTCCTTCCTTGCTGGTGCATGCCCACTGCCCTTCCCACTGTGTCCTCATGTCAAGCAAGCACAGCTCTTCCTGACTGCTCTCTGAAGGTAGGCTTTTTCATCTCCATCCTCGTCCTTCGTTGTTGTGTTGTCTCTGGCTCTTGTGCCAGTTTGAAGTCTAGCTAGCCCCAGCAGCATAGTCCTGTCTTCAACGCTGGGTCTTGCCTAGGACACACAGTCATTTCGTAGGATGTGTGTCAACTTTTTATCGCTGTGCTTATACCACTTTCAGTGAGGTCAGGGTTTTGCCATGGGTTTTATTTTCACCCGTGTTTTTAAGCTGTTGTTTTTTTAAAAGAAAGCTCCTCCTGTCAGTTTTTATTGTTTGCATTGTACCAAGGCTGAAGGCTCCAGGCACTGGGTGAACAAACTTTAAGTATGTCCAATCAAATAGACGCATACATAAAAATAGAGAGAGGGAGAGCAGAATAAACAGTACAAAGGCCCAGTTTGTGTCTTGCTGATGGTGAAGCAATTCTGTGGCATAAGCAGGACCAGAACATCAGTCTCCTTGCAGCCTTGCCATTGTTTTCTCTTCTGAGCTACCATGCACCGAAGCATTTCCCCAGACATGCGCTTGTCTCCCAACTACTTTTATCAGAGAGCTGGGAAGGCATTTTGACAATCCACTTGTGGATTTGTGTCCATGGGTCTTTAGCAGAAGTAGAAATCCATGGAGGAATGACCATTGTGCTGCCTATTCTCTTCTTCCCTTGCCATCACACCCACCTCCTCTCCTTCTCTCCCTGCCTTTGTTTGTAGGAGCTGCAAGTCTCTACAGTTTGAACAATTTCACATTCTCCCTGTCAATCTCTGCTCTTCCCACTACTTGCCTTTAAAGACAAAATACTTCTGTCTAATGATCCTGAGTACTACCAGCTGATAGACAAAGATCCTCAGAACTCATAGTGGACAGTACCTCTTGTTCATGAAAGTACTACTGTGTCATCTTGTGAATGTCGGGAATGTCTAGGCAGTTTGATGGGGGGGTTAAGTTCAGTAATCGAATTTATAAGAGAGGCAAAAATAAAGAAATCACATTATATTTCTGATACTTGCACACAGTCTACTTATCCATGGTGTATCACCCCATTTTAAGTCCCATTTGATAGAAAAAAAGTCCTTGTGTATTGTTGATAGAAGAAACAATTCTTTATCCCAATGCATGTTCCATATTCTTGGGGTACTTTATTTTGACAAAACGGTTCAAAATATGGGTTGAGGGGAGGGATTTGCAGTGATAAGAAATGTTGTTATTTGCCATAATCACTTCAGCCTTGGATGTTTGGGAAAGATATTTTAGAACCAAATTTTTAGACTAGATCCCATTCCTTGGAAACCTTTTGACCTCAGTGGAGTTTTTTTAAGGGAAAGGCAGTCAGTCATAGTTGCTTTCCTCATTCACTGCAAAACCTTTCTAAGACTGTTAAGAAATAGTGATAAGAAGTAAATCCTGCTTTTCAGAAGTCTGTTCATTTTGATTAAGAAGTAAAAAATGAATGTGCCATGTTCATGCTGTGGCCCCAACTGAGCAATTAGACTCATGCAGAAGAATTGCACATCCCTTTGAATCTAGTTGCAGGGCTGGGGCCTGTCCAGGTATATGACCATAAACCATAAAGCTGACAACATTTTTTCTCTTTAGAAAGACTAGACTATTTTGCAGGAATGTAAGCCTTCCTAAGTTACCTTAATGGGTCAAGAACTACTTAATTCCATGATCTTCCCTGCTTCTGCTGAAGCAATGTAGCTCAGAGATTTATTAGACACAAATAAATATTTTCTTTCGCTCCATCAACAAAATGTAGCTAATGAGGCATCTATAAGGATTATCAAAAATGCATCTAGATTGTGTTGGCATTAATATTTTATATTGCTGTCAATATGCAACAAAAGATATGATCCCAAATTTCCAACATGATTCAGAACTATAAAAATTGATTCCTTAGTTGCCACAGATAAATTATTAGCAAAGATATGGACTGGTGGATTTTCTTGCAGGTAACTGAAATTCCACTTTCATCCAAGTTCACCCAGTTGAATTTGCCTTTTGTTAAAGATGTTAAAAATCATGATGTCTTATGTCAGTAATGATAATGAAGGGGAGGATTGGCTTTAATGACACTAGAAGAGTCATTATGTTTAATTTATTGCTAATTAATGCTGTCAGCTTTCATATGCTTTGTCTAGTTGTCGTGTGCTTGTTATATGCCTTTTTTTTTTTTTTTTTTTAATGTGTGTACACATCCCTCCCCATTCATTCATTTTTATTCTGACGATTTACACAGCTTTCTCTCCTCTAGGTTTCCTCCACACATGGTCCCGCCACACCATAGTTTACATACAACTGGAATCCCTCATCCGGCCATAGTCACACCAACAGTCAAACAGGAATCTTCCCAGAGCGACGTTGGCTCACTCCACAGCTCGTAAGTTGTTGCTTTCTGTGTCTTCTTTTTAGAACGCCCAAAGCATCTTCTGTGCATGTGTGGCTTGAAAAAAGGCTTGGATTTGTGGAAATGTTTTTGCTGTAAAATATATATTTGAATTGCTTTTTCTCTTCTGTTCTAATTGATTTGAACACGGCTTAACTACCAAAGTGTGTCAAGTTGATGGTAACAGTCTTTCAGTCAATCTGTGACATAGATAAGTAGTTATTAATTTCACCTGTTTTAACAAGGAAGTGACATTTTCTTGATCAAGATTCAGGTTTCTTGACTGGTTTTACTGTTACTCAGTGCCTGGTTTGAAGACGTGAGGTACCAGATACACGACAGGAGACAATAAATCAGAGCATAAATGGCTTGTTCAAAGCTGTAGAGAGAGCTGGTATCAAGCTTAGGTTTGAACCAAGGACCGCCCTGGTCTACCTCCGCCCCTAGTGCTTCTGGTGCTTCTTGCCTCTCATTTCACAGGTGAAGCAGAAGGACAGTGTTTCGGTTCCCAGTGATGATGGGGTATAACTACTTCCTCCTGCCGTCATGGTCACAAGTCCTCCCTGTGAACCAATTTTCCTGGGTGCCTGTGTCCTTCCAATGTTCTTTTAGGGGCTGAGGGCGTACTTGGTGATATTGCATAAACTTGAGATGGGTTTTCTTATAATCTCTTAAAACTGTTCTCATACAGCATCTAGGGTGAAGGCTCTAAAGAACCTTCTGCTTCTCTTCCTAGAGACTAATTTCTGAGGATTAATGCTAGCGAGATTGAGAGGATTCATTTAATAAATTCACAAGGGTTCTCACTATGAGGTTTCTGTCTGCTGTGTCTTTACCCTTCAGAAAACATCAGGACTCCAAAAAAGAAGAAGAGAAAAAGAAGCCACACATAAAGAAACCTCTTAATGCATTTATGTTGTATATGAAGGAAATGAGAGCAAAAGTTGTAGCAGAATGCACATTGAAGGAGAGCGCAGCCATCAACCAAATCCTCGGTCGAAGGGTAGGTAACAAGGGAGAAGCACAAGCAGGGACTGAAACTTGTTAGGATTCACACCTTCTGAATTACTGTGTTTTCCTGTTATTTTCATAATGGAGAGGAAAGTTACTAAACCAAGACCTTCGTTTGGTTTTTGGTTTTTGCAGACGCTTTTTGCTAGTAGAGTTGTTCCCAAGGAAGGCGGGATGTTAATTAATAGTAGTGTTATTTCAATGTTGTTTCCATGACCTGGGAAAAATCTCAGATTTCTTATTTTTGCCTAGAAACAGGCAGAAAGTAAATGGGGAAGGAAAAAGCCTTTGGGAAGTACAGTAGCAGTATCAGCACTGGGGAGAGCTCGAAGAGGAGAGGGGGTGCCAGTGGTGAAGGGAGGAGGAGACCTTCTCGAAATCTAACTGTTAAGAGATCTGGCTCACAACAAGTGGTCCAGCTTCTGGACCCTCTCACCAGCTCTTTGGTTTTGTTTAGTTTTCTTAATTCTCCTCCCTCATGAGGAAACAGTGAGGCTGAATGTAAATGATTAGTTGTGACTCAGTTGAGTTAACTGGAGCTATAATCTGGAGTTATAAATAAAATATGAATGGCAGCATGCCAGATCATCTGTTTTTATCTCTTTTTTTAAAATGAAAATCAACTCTTGCTGGATCTATATATAAATAATATACTCTGCTGTTAACGTGCTTAAAAAAAAAACACGTCTTTTTTTTTCTTTTCTTCACCTCAGTGGCATGCGTTATCCAGAGAAGAACAAGCGAAATACTATGAACTAGCAAGAAAGGAACGACAGCTTCACATGCAGCTGTACCCAGGCTGGTCTGCACGGGATAACTATGTAGGTTCCTATGTAGGTGGAAATTTTTTTAGTAGTAGAGCTTGTAGAAATGTATATGTGACCTGCTGCTGAACTACGACCACACATTGCACACAAGCACTACGTGGAAAGTGTGCCTCAGGATCCCAATCTGGTAACAACAACGGATGCTTCCCTCTGCGGTACTAAAACTATTGGGGATAACTCCCAGCCCTCCACTTGGAAGAGACTTCCTGGCTGGGACTAGTAAAAGGTTAGAATTGGGGCATGACAGTAGAAGCCTGTGAAGAAACTCCTGCCTTCACTTTCACTGGCATCTGGAAATGCTGTTTGGCTCATCAGTCATTTTAAATTTTATTTTTTAAACCAAAGTAAAAATTTCCCTGGTATGGCTCCTCTCCTTTCCACAGAAAAGATGAATAACTAGTGTCTTGTGCTTATCTGTGTGAGAGTATAGTGGAAAGTGGAAGAATGACTTATCCTAGCTTCAGAGAAGGACTGGCAAAACCAAAAGCATGACTTATTTGAAAGTCTTACTCTCAAGTGAGGTTAAATAAATTATTCCACGCTCTACTGTTGTATATTTCCATTATGTTTTGCTTTTTCATGGCCATGTTATCTTTTGTCATCTCCTCACTTTTTAAAAGTGTTTTGGAGTTTGTGATCAATTAATGGAGTGTTTTTAAGGTTGATTCTTCTCTCCACCTTTCAGAAAGCCTGTTTTGTGGCTAAAAGTGGTAGAATTTTCTGTCTGTTAAAAACGTAAGGCTAGTGTTGTAGCCACTTACTAGTAGTATATAACCCCTTCTTCCATGAAGAGTAAGTGGTGCATCTGGTAGTGTTTGCAAGCCTAAACTCATAAATTCTGACAGATTTGTGGATTAGTGGGAGCTGTAAACCCTCTTTAATAGGATTATAGCAGCATCTTGATTATTTTTTTTTTTAAATTAAATAAAAATCACCTAAAACTTTCAACATCTCTAACTCTGGAGTAAACCCTGCTCCCTGCCTTCTAGGCAGACCTCCCTGCAGGTTTGGGGACTAGCAGCTGTAAGATTGATGTCAGTTATGTATAGTGTTACACATTTTGTTTTTGTTGAAGTCTATCTCTTCCATCATCTTCATCATCATCACTGTGTATTTTACTAAATATCCTCTTTTGCCATAAATGACATAACCTCTGTGCTTTGTATATGACAGCGTTTACCTCTGTGAGAATCTGTGGTTTTACATGTATGGATGGGAAGAAGCCAGTTCAGAGTCTGCAGCAAAGCCTAGAGCAGCAGCAGTTCTCTGTGCTATTCCACCATTTCACCAGCGGAGTATACACGTGCTCATTTATTTAGCAATATGTACTTCAGGACATTTTCAAATCCTTCTGCTCTTTCTTGATCTTTTCCTTCCATTGGGCGCTGCCTCGCTCCCTCCTTTGTTCGCCATTGCAGGTGTAGCCGTGATTTCTCCTCGGAGGAATCCTCTTTAAAACCAGTGAGGCGCTGCTCCTGCTAAACACGTTTTCTCTTTCTTTTCGGCATAGTCTGGCCTGAGACTGTCAGACCATGAGCTTGAGGTAGTTCCTTTGCACTGTGCAGTATTGTCTTCTTGGGTGTTCAAAAGGCAGTATAGGCTCGACTGAGGTTCCAGGAATGCTCATTCTGCGCAGTGACTGTGCCGCTGACAGATGGGCATGTACAAAGCCTTCGGCGTTTAGGACCTTTTACTTTTGTCCTCACCGTGTGAGCACTGAGAAACCCTTTCTTCTTGAGCTAAAAAGGACAGGATGAGAAAGCCAGCGCTTTCCCAGCAGCTTGATGCTGTACCCCCAAGTGACCTTCAGGGGGAACCTTCCTGCCTGAGGAGAGCGCAGTGCCTTTGGATCACACTATTGCATCACCCGCAGGATTTATTTATTTCTCTTCTGGTCCATTCAGAGCTCTCTGAGTTCCCCTCCTCCCTTGGTGTTTTGCAGGGTCTTGAGCCCTTTGCACATTTAGCAGGGGAGGGTCTTTGGGCTGCTTGCAATGGTTGTTTTGTTAGACATCCTGCATCAGGCACGAGGATGAGGCCAGCTGTAACCCAGGTCTTCAGAAACAGGAGCAGTACATTCAAGAAACGCAGCTTTCAGACTGCTCTTAAATAAGAGAAGAGGATTCAGGGAATCCCTCGTGGCTTGTTGGTGTCACAAGGCACATTTACTCTTCTTGAGATCTAATTTGAGATGTTAAGCAGTGCTGGGTACTGGACTCAGAAGCACGTAAGGGTCTCGTCACCTCGCCTGCCGCTTGTCTAGAAAATTAGTATCAAAGAATTCTGCAGTCCTGTCAAAACCCATGTCGGTTTGGCTCTGTGGAGGGAGCTGCCAAAATTGTTAGCAAGTATTTACATCCACATTTACTTGCAGCCTAAGAATTTGTATAGTACAATGATGGAAAATGTTACAGACCATCTGCTCAAGTCTTAGGAGGACAACCTGAGGTAAAGGCAAAACGATGTGTTCTGCAGAGCACTTGAAAAACTGCTGCCATAGTTATTTTCTTAAGTCCATATATTTATTGATTTAGCTACATATCAAATATCTTCTCACAGCACAGAAACTGAACAAGCAAGCCAGGTGATTCTTCTCCCAATTTCCTTTGAAAATGGTGTAAAAGAAGTTAGTGGGACCTCTGTCAATTCTTTGTTAGGAACGGTTTTCAAAGCTTGTGTTGAAAAGGAACCAGAAATTCCTGGTCTCTGGCTGGCATTCTTGTATATCAGCCATTTTTAACAGATTACTCCCTAAAGGGGTTCTAGTACTTTAATACCTGTCTTGAAGAGTTTGTAGAGGGCAGGTACCTCCTGTATCTCTGTTCTGGCTGACCCTTGTGTGAAGAAGTTATAAGGTCTCAAATTGAAATAGCTTTTGAATTCCCAAATGTACTGCAAAAATTAAGCAAATGTGCCACAGATGCAGTCTGTTAATTATGTGAGTGACCTTCCTGAGATTAAATAAAAATCAGGCTTATGGTCCTGAGGCAATTGTCTGGTTTTTGTTACATTGTTGTAAAGCTGGAAAAAATTCACTGAATTTCAGAGTTACTGCTTATCTAGATCAATATAGATGGAGCAGTCTAAGATTCTTGTGCATCTTTGTGTGATATGTAGACTTCAAGATACCATGTTTTTCCCTATTTTATTCTCAGGGATCTTGGTGCAATGCTTGTCTGTCTTGTCTGTCTGTCGTGTTAGACTGATGGCTGCTGTATCCAATTTACTCAGAGTGACAACTTTCCATATTCCCAAAAATGACCTCAGAGGTGTTGGAGATGATTTCTCAGCAGCATCCAAGCTACAGGATTATGTGCATGTTGTTTAAAAATCATTTTAAATGGACAATGCAAACAGCTTTTTCCATCACCAGAAGGCTGTCATGAACAAGACCATGCTTGTCGCAGCCTGGACACCACGATGGCAGTTTACAACCCTGAGCGAGCAAGGGGGAATGAGTACAGATGCCCCATGACAGAAAGCCAGCTTTTGGGGCAGAAAAATATCACAACAACAAATCAAAATTCATCTTGGGAGAATGTCTTACTAATACATTGTGGGGAATTTATCATAGTGGGCATCCCAAGTGTTATAGTGGATGTCCCAAGCTGAAGCCAAGTCTTAACCGCTTAGCTGGGAGCCAGACTAACCTACTGAAAAAGATGTCCACCGTGTGGGAGCACAGATATGCATGGCCCTTCAAAAGTGCTGTGAGATTCCTTCTTCCGAGACACGTTTGTTACCTTTTGACCACACGAGACTGCTGGCCTGGTGGTTTTTCAGCAACTTCTCTTAGTACCACGTCTTCAAAAGCAGGGATCTCTGTGCTGTTCCCAGTTGACATTGCTGGCCCAAGAGTCGTTGCTTTTAGCATCTGGGGATCTGTGAAAATGAAATTACTCTGTTCCCTTGCACTGGCCTTCTTGTGGAGCTCTGCGAACGCTGTAGCTCAGTGTTAGAAGAGCTTTTGTAGAAAACCGCTTGTCTATTTTGATCCATGCTTGTTACTTTATAACTCTTCTCTTGCAAAATGATAGTTGGATTGTTACAGATGTTGGGTTCCTGGTCGTGTCCTCTCACGTGCTGCTGGAGGGAAAAGGACAAAGGGCCTTTCTCCCTCCAATCAGAAACCGTAACAGCATCACCTTGTGGGACCATATTTGGGAAAGGGACACAGTTTAGCAAAACATTACTGGTTATTTTTTCTTGTGATAGAGGAAAATGTGGGAAGGGTCTTAATTGTATCTGGGTTGTTTTTTTTATCTTACTGGCTTTGCTTTCTAAGGTGTCAGTGCACATGTAAACCTGCAGGTTGGGTTTTGCTCATTACTGTGGCTTCCTCGTCTGCTTTAACGGTTGGTTGTGGGTGCTGAGGAACCCCAGGGGCTCAGTCTGACCTCACTCACAGACCCTCCCACCTTGAATCTCTGCTGTTGCCCTTTCTTCCCCTCCCCACCCCACTGAAATGTGACCAGGAATGAGTTTTTTTTAAGCAGGAGCATATAAGTGTCAATGTTTCTGTCGTGACGATAATAATCTCAAAAGAAGCATCCTGCAAGTCCTTCTGCCCTCTCCCCAGCTACTTATGGCTTTGGTGGATGCTGCAGTGAGGCATGGGGTGGGCAGGCAGAGACATCCCCAGGGTGCCAGCATCCCCTCAGGGTCCCCCCAAGTGTCCCTGCACTAGAAGCAAGCTGTCATCGTGCTTTGGTGTCCTCCCCGGGGAGCTTCCCACACCAACCGCAGCCCCATCACTTGCTGCTGTCTTGCAAGGAGATGTATTTTGGGTTTTTTTTAATTCTTCTCATTTGTGTATGTTTCCTGCAGGGAAAGAAGAAGAAGAGGAAAAGGGATAAGCAGCCAGGAGAGACCAATGGTAAGTAAAAATAAGTCTGAATCTCTTGCTTAGTGGAAGTGTGGCAACCCTGGTGTGACGCTCTGAGGTACGAGGGGGGTGGGTGCAAGTCTCCTGGCCTCACGGGGAGCCGGCCCCTATACTAGACAGCTTTTTTTTTTTTATTTTTAAGGGCGTTCTAATTATTTGCGCGTTATTGCCCTTCTAAAACTAGTAACCAAGCCATTGCATGTAAGAGCCTTTTGTGACGTTAGCTGAATTTGTATGTAATCATTGCAGAGCCGTAGTTGTAATGCCTATGCCATCGTTTATAAAGTTGTCTGCTTATTTTGCGCATATGTGTGTGCGTGTATGTACGTGTGTATGTGTTTGGTATTAATTTGGGCTGTACTTGTATGTTCTGATGCATGCCTTACAGTGGTAAATCGCACCCATTTTAAATTAAGGAGGTTTGCCATTCTATATAGGAAATTAGAAATACTGCATAGGCAATCTCATAGTCAACTTTGAAGAAGCCCTGACTTAGTTTTTTTGAAGCCTTTGTATAATTTGTTCTTTTTTTTCAGAACACAGCGAATGTTTCCTAAATCCTTGCCTTTCACTTCCTCCGATTACAGGTGCTAACGTCATTTTGAGTCATTTAAAATAGTTTATAAACTGCTTTTTAATTTTTTTTCCTGCCATTATAGATTTTAACATTAAACACTTATGACATTAACAAAAAAATACCATCCACACGTTTTGATAGTATTTATTATCTATATATCTTTATATCTACTATATGTTTGATAGTATTTTTTAATTTTGTTTTTTGTTTTTGTAACAATTGCTATTGAAACAGTAATACAGTAAAAATAACGCAAGAATTGTACTAACTGTGCAAATTGAATATGCAGTATTTCTTTAAAGAGACTGATAAAGAATGGAAGCAAGTCAGTAATGAACCTCCTTAATCTAATGGCATTTTTCATGGCTCCCACTAAGTCTTCTCACATTAGCATGCAAATGCATTTTTTATTTTATTATTATTTTAGTTTTGGATTTTTTTATTTATTTTTTTTTCTTTTCTGCTCAAGCCTGTTCATTGCAATTCACTAGCTGTACTAACTCAGCACCTTGCCATGCTTTATGTTTTATTTTCTGGCTGATACTAACATACTCATTCTGCAATCTGCTTATTCTTATCCATTCTTTTAAATACAAATTAATAAAAACAAATAAATTGAATGTTATTCCAAAAGCTGCATTATCCCAGGAGATATAATTTCCTTTTTTTTTTCTTTTTTTTTTTTCCTCTTTTTTTTTATTTTGTATCTGAGTTGAAGAAAAAAGCATGTTCAGGATCTAACTTCCATACTCAGCTTCTTTTCTTCCTTTCCCCCCCACCTCAAAAAAGAGAATAAAAAATCCCAGCTCAAATAAATCTTGCCTGAAACATCCTGCTAGACCAGCCACAATGACTTTCCTCTACCTGCTCTTTTAAAAGGGAAAGAAACAGTCCTTTATAAAGGGATACTGCAGCTTTAATTGCAACAGCTAATCTCAAGAGTTGAATAAAAATGTGATTATCACTTTTTTAACTTTTAAATCAAAAGTCAATATTTTGCAATTAATAACGAGGACATTGATTTTTATTCCCTTTTTTATTTTTATTTTTTCCTTATTTTTATCTTTCTCTTTTTTCTCCCCTTTTCTCTCTGCCTCTCTTTCTCTCTCTCCCCCCCCTCCCCTTTTCTTTTTTTCCTCTCTCCCTTTTCTGCTCGCTTTTCTTGAACTCATTCAGACCTGAGCGCTCCTAAGAAATGCCGAGCGCGCTTTGGCCTTGATCAACAGAATAACTGGTGCGGCCCCTGCAGGTGTGTATAGTTTTCCCAGACTCGCTATGGCTGATTTGCAGCTGGTTTATTTGGTACTTTCCCCTTTTTTTTCCTGCCTTGTTGCTTTGTAGCTCTGTGTTGTGATCTAGAAGACACAAGGGAGTGGGACACTGTCATGAGTTATCGTCTCTCTGAAAGGGTTTTGCTTTTTTTTTTTTTTTTCCTGTTGTTGGTTGTTTTTTTGCCTTCCTCTTTGCTGCTGCTAGCCAAAAACCCACTGTAAAACAGCATCAGCCTTACGCCCATCTGATCCGTGGCTCAACCACGCTCCTGCCCTCCAAGCCTCCACCCAAGGAAAGTTGCTCCCAAAGCCCTTGATAACATGGCATTGAGCACAGTACCGGCACTGGACAGACGCATGGCCATGTTAGAGAATTTTTGTTTTCTTTTGTCTCATTGTGAAAGTCCTGTTTTCTTTCCTGCCCTTCGTACAAGGGGAGATTACCAAATAAAACGGAGGTGATTGAAAGCTAAACGTAGCTGTAGCTAAGATGATGCAGTCCAAATGAGCTCTATCCACCATTGTGTTGTATTTTTTGTGTTTACCTTATGCTAACAGATGCAAATACTCCAAAGAAGTGTCGGGCATTGTTCGGGCTTGACCGACAGAGTTTATGGTGCAAACCATGCAGGTATAATACTACCCATTAGGCCTTTGGGGAAATAAAAGCAATCTGTCCTCTTAGTGCATTTGTGTGATTTTGGTTTTTTAATCTTTTTTCCCCATTCCCCACCTTTCTCTCTCCCAAGAGCATCAATCGCTAATAATCTTTGATCTTTGGAATTTCCTGCTAATTTAATGCCATTTTCTCTCTTTCTTTACCAATAACCTCTCCCTGGTGGTAGAACTGGGAACAAGAAAACTTGAAGTCATTAAAGCTGGCAGCTTTTTGGCTTTTTTATTATTTTTTTCCGGTTTGTCAGCAAAATGAATGTTTAGCTGGACATCTGTATTTTGTCTGTCATTTGGGTCTATGTCCACTGCCTCCAAAGGCTTTTTAAAAAGGTTTTGGGATCTGCAGCACTAGTGTTTTGCTCATCATTAGAGATGTAAAAGACAGTGTTTACAGCTTATATTCTACTAATTTTTTTTATCTGCAAAATTAAATAGCTACCTCGAGGCTTCTACGCCTCGGTAATGTTTATGTAGATACCAGTTTTTTAAATGACCTGATGTCTTTTTTTTCTGATTCTGAAAATACATTTTTTTCCTAAATTTTATCCCAACAAGTGAGCTGTAAACGCCTGAGCTCTACATAAAACTAATTGCAATTTTAGTAGGACAGTTTCCAGCATTAAAAGGAGATGAAAGACACCAGAGAGCCCAAATTTTGACAGCCCATGTTCTACTGGAGTTTAATTCCATGTATAACTCAGTACGTACTTCTTTCTTGGTGGAGGGATACTGAGAAGTTCTTTTCTCGTTCCTTTTTCCTTATATGATCGCATTTGGTTAAATTTGTTGTTTCTTTGTTCTGATACAAGCAGTCTTTGAATTTGGAATATTATGATGGTAGGTATTTCAACCCAAACCACACTCTGTGTGTAGTGATTCCTCTCTCACATTTTCCCCTCTTACTCATGCCAGTCCCATGTGCTCCATCTCATTTAGAATGTAGATCAGACGTCCATCGTATTTTGTGTATGCACGCAGTCTTGTTTGTGCTTAGTCTTGAGGAAAACGCAGATCGAGGGCGGTGTTGTATGTCAAAATACCAGATAAGGCACCAGAAATGTCTTCAACAGATTGCATATCGTCCCGTTCGAGGCATGCTAGTACCGGGTGGTGGGGTTTTAGCTATCAGCACCAGTGCATATAATAAACAAGCTTTGAAAGCAGCCATTCCTTAATGCATGAAGGAAGAAGGGTTCAGTCCAGAAGAGCTGGGTAGGCACTTCACTGTGTCAGGAGGCTCAAGTCTCATGCCAGCCAAGGGCTCAAATACAGTATTTAATTAGGCTTTATTTTGGGGTTAGTTCACTGCACACTGTCAGCAGATATTTGTGTAGGCTAGAGATAGAGTATGAGAAGCGTGTCAGGCTCTGTATGCCGACTACCAGAACTGGGGGCACGTTGTGTTTGTGGTGCTTTATCTTTTCCTAGCTTGCTTAAGTAAACAGCATACTTTTAAAACTACATTTTATCAGCAAGGGGACTTTTCATTTGGCCTGCACAGTGCTTAGGTTACATGTGAAACATAAACCCTCTCTTAACTTAGACCAGATTTTGGTCAGAAGTCTTTGCAGCTCCTCAGAGCCAACTTTTTAAGATCAGTTTTGAGCAGTGGAGTACCTTTCAATGATGTAGCCAATAGCTTTAGACTTACTGATACAGAGTCAGCTCCTTTTCTTTCTTTCTTTCTTTCTTTTTTTTAATATAAAATGCAAGAAGGCATTTTATCACTAGGTAGAGTTTAGAGCATTTCTCTCCTAGTTTTGGTCATAACCACTATAACATTGCAGTTGCTATCACAGTATCTTTTTGTAGTGCATCTTAGGTAGGTGCTAAAGATGTACAGTTAGCTACTACAGTAGAAACTGGGACATCTTTGCTCACAGCAGCTGAATAAGCCCTTGTTGTCATAGTCTGTGTGTTTCACTCATGGCAATTGCAGCATTACAGGTTTCCCAATGCTGTCCTGGGGCTAGTTTCAAGGGCAACATGAGCGGGGCCAGGTCTGTTGGTGTTTCCCAGACTGACGTAGCAGTTGCCACTTTCAGAGCAGTGCACAAGTAAATAATCCTCACAAGTGCTTCTGAGGGGGTATACATAGTATTTCTAATTTTTGTCATACTAGATTCAAACTGCCTCCAGTGAAATAATTGGCTGCCTTGTAGGTTCAGACCAATCCAGTTGAATGGTTTCTAGACCACCGTCAATGAGGCAGGCAGAGCTTGGGTCTCTGCTTGCAAATTATTTTAATTTGGGAATGGTGGGGAAGCCCTACAGTCTCTAAATTGTGAGAACTAACCTTTCCACACAGGTATTATCAGTAAGCTTTGTGGAGTGTCTCTGTTCTGCTTTGCCACTGGCAGCTGTACAGAAGGTCCAAACATGAAGTGTAGTTGTGGCAGCGTTGCATAGCTGAAGCTAGGAAGTGGTGAGACAGAAGCAAGGGGCAGGGAGAAAGAGCAGCAGAGCTGTCCTTAGCCAAGAGCCAGAGGCTTTCCACGTTGTTTATTGCTGGTAGGAGAATTAACAGGTCCTGTTTTGAGCCCACCAAATTAATCTTTTTCTGTCTTTTAACGTTGCTCTAATAAAGCATGGTTTACAGCCTTCAATTGCTGTCTTCTATCTTTTTTTTTCTTCCTTTCTTTTTAACATTTAAGTTGCATGGTTGTCTTTAGTTTTTAGCATGTATTGATCTGCAGGCTAACGTGGTTAAAACTCTAATAGCCCTAACCCCTTCCCTTTCCATGTGGAACATGGAGCAGAACCTGAGAGCAGAGCCCGAGTCTATGGCGGAAGGGATGTCACAGCACTGGTCCCTCGCTGAAGCCGGTGGAAAGATGGGGTGCTGGTGTTGCTATTCCCTTCCTGCTATGGGAGATGATATATTTTAACTACAGGATCAAGCTGGCTAGATCTCCCTTGCCATCAAGAAACACCTAGCTTAACCTAGAGAGCAGACCTTGGTTTAACCCAAGTGAACCACCGTTGCCGTACGTAGGGGAGAACACTGACCAGCAGTGGAGCTGCTGTTGTGGCACCTCTGTGAGTGGGGAATGTCACCCAGCAATGTTCAGCAGCTGTGCCATGCTCAGACGCTTCTTCTTCTGAAGTTGCTGAGCTGGAGCAAGGTATCCAATGAAGGGGGAGAACAACCTCCTCCTTTACGTTGGTGGCTTTGTGCAGCTTAGCTGAGTGTCCAAAGTTTTTGTGGCAGAACTGCTCTAGGCAGATTTTGTCATGTATCTCGGGCTGTGTGACAGCCGTTCAGCACTTCCCATGGAAAGTGTGCTTGTGAATAGGAGGGCTGGAGAGCCATCATTATCAAGGTCAAGGTGGCCGCTGAACATAGTTCTGCCAGATGCTGTGGTTGTTCACCTCATTATTTCTGTCCTGCTGCTAGAATTGTCTTGCATATACTTGGCAAGAGAAATGGTGTGAAACTGTCATCTGTTTTCATTGCTCCTTTACATTATTAAGTGGACAGAGGGAGGAGAAAAGATCTCTGTCGGGTCACTTACGCATTTATTTGAAGATGAGCGGCTCTTGCGAGACTCTCATATTTCCTGGTGTGAAAAAAGCTCCATGTTGCTCCTCACCTTTTTACCTGTCGTCGTGCTCTTCATCTACTGAAATTGGATCCCACTCTGCAGTTACATGGATGGCCTCTCAGAGGAAAATTCCCCAAAACGCAGACAAGCAGCTTCCCAAATCTACCACTCTCCCTTAAAACAAAAAGTAAAACTGAGTCGATTTAAAGCCACAACCTGCAGGCCATACAACCAGTTATTCTTGTTATTTTGGATCATACTCTGCTTATCCTGTTCTTTTCCTGGTTTTTCTTCTGTTTGCTTTGTTTGTTCGTTTTGTTTTTATTTCCCCTTTCTTGTTCTCTCTATTATATATCCCTCCTGTCTGATTCTGATGTTTCTGGATTTGGTGTGGTTCTTAACAGAGGAAAAAGCAATGAGCAGTAGTTTGCAGCCATCCTTGCCTCCCAAGGGCAGTGCATCGTAAGAGACTACAGGTGATGCAGGTGTAGTGATAGCCCTGTTGAGTTGGACAGCGTTATGGGACATCTTGAGATACCATCAACTATCCAGAGCTTTTATTTTATAAGGATTAATTTTTTTTATTTTTATTTTTCCGGAGGAAATTTGAGTTTGTAGATTAGCACAGTGGGCTCCAAAACCATTTTACCTGATTTTCTGATTATTAAAATAACGGAGGAAAAGAGGCAGCCTGAAGAGGAGGGGGACGAAGAGACAATTGGTGAATCCTTTCCAAATCTGTTAGCCAAGGGGAGGTTCCTGAGCGGGCTTGGGGCCGAGGTCACCCCATCAGACCCTCAGGATGGTGCATGGGGCCAGGGTGCCACCCCCACAGAACCTGGAATAGCTAATTGACGGCTCTTTGCTGTAGATAACTGTCTCCATCAGCATCTCTGCCCTTTATTCACAGATAACTCTCTCCCTGTTTCTAGGAGAAAAAAAAAGTGCGTTCGCTACATACAAGGTGAAGGCAGCTGCGTCAGCCCCCCCTCTTCAGATGGAAGCTTACTAGACTCTCCTCCGTCCTCTCCCGCCATGCTTGCCTCCCCCTCCAGAGACTCGAAACCACAGACTGAACAAACGCAACCCCTCTCGCTCTCATTGAAGCCTGACCCGCTGGCACACCTGGTCATGATGCCGCCCCCCATCCTCGCTCGTCCTCGCTGAGAGCGCTGCGAGCAAGCCCGGCGCCCTGCCTTCCGCCAGCTGCCCCAACGGGGCCCTGGACCACCCGCCGGCTGCCCTCCCGCAGGCCACCACTGCCGCTGCATCCCTAGCACAGCCCTCAACATCCTCCTCCTTGCATTCCCACAGCTCGCTGGCAGGGACACAGCCCCAGCCGCTCTCCCTCGTAACCAAGCCCTTAGAATAGCTTTAGCCTCCCTAACCCTTTCAATTTCCTTCAAGGGGATAGAATTCTGTTGGGATATGGTGTTGTTTGGTTTGGTGTTTTTTTTTTCTTTTTCCTTTTTTTTTTGTTTTGTTTGTTTTGTCCTTCTCGTCGTGGTCGCTGTTTGTCGTCGTTTCTCAGTTTTGTTTTTAATTCGTGCCATGTGGCTACATTAGTTGATGTTTTATCGAGTTCATTGGTCAATATTTGACCCATTCTTATTTCAATTTCTTCTTTTTAAATATGTAGATGAGAAAAGCCTCATGATTCTGCCAAAATTTTTATCAACAGCTGTTTAAAGTCTTTGTAGCGTTTAAAAAAAATATATATATACATAATTGTTATGTAGTACCAATAGCTTAGTTTTAAAGACTGATTTTAAAAATTTAAAAAAAAAAAAGAAGCAATTTTGAAGCAGCCCTTGCCGGAGGCATTGGTTCTTTATTATTTGTATTAAATACGAGCTTGCGAACCAATCATTTTACATCTGGTTTTTAAACCTTTAAGGGCACAATGAATGCGGTGCCGCTACTACTTCTTTTTTTTTTCTTCCTTGTGTGAAACAGCCTTTATTGTGATGTTACTTGTTATTGTTTAATTGTACAGAAACAAAGGGTTAAAAAAATGTGTTAATATACCGTGTTCCATGGTGTTGTTCTTTTTGGGGGAGGGAACGCTACTCAACAATTAAAAGTATCACAACGCTATTGGACCAGTAGTATTTATTGCTTTAGAAATTGCTTGTTGTATCTGTATGTTGTCCCTTTTTAAATGTTTTTTTCCTCTTTTTTTTTCTTGAAACATTGTATAAAGTTTTTTTTTTTTTCCCTTAGTGTAAGCATCTTATATATAACAACTCATTTGTACAAGGTTTTTAAGTTTATATATAAATGTGTATATATATATTTTTTCCGGGATTTTTGTTTTGATTTCCTTTCGTGATTAATTTTTTTTTTTTTTTTTTTTGCTATATGAAACACGGTTGCCACCAAATGGACATTTGCAGATGCATTTTTTTCGAGGATCAATAGTGTAAAAAAAAAAAATTGCTTTAAAAGCCATTACACACAAAAAGACTTGAAAATTTAGCAAGGGAATTTTTAGGAACACTGTTTGAAAAATAGCAAGGTCCAAGTGTCTCCTGTTCAGAACTGCAGCTGAATCCCCTGCGACATTAGGACTGTAGGCTGTGTGCAAAATTTTTATGTGCCAAAATTCTCAGTGACTTTTAACTTTCTCCCAACAACTTTATTATTTTTTTTAATGCTGTAATTTTTTTTTGTTCATCATGTTTTGCTGTGATGTTACATAGGTAGGTATGTATGTAGTTTTAATGTCACCTATAACAGACGTGTTTGGTAGCAGATTGTCCGGAAAACATTTAAAATGAAGAGGTATAAACCCTTACGGGCCAAATTCTGTATATTAGATTATTCATAAAAGGAAAATCAGACTGCCACTTCTATGTACACTTACTACATACAGGTAGGTAGCAAACTTAAAACAAAAAAAAAAAAAAAAAACCTAGGCATGTTGATGTTGCAAAAAACGCTGTATAAAGCTGAAAAATTGTTCATCTGTTCATTCAGTGCCATTGTAGTTGACATGAAGCAATTGTAAAACTGTCTCAGATTTTTCTCTGGTTTATTAAGATGCTAACTATAACATTTTTTGTGAATACTTTGAATGTTTCCTAACAGTTGTGATGTTACTGTTCCGTTTTATGCTCTTATTCCGATTTTCATTTTTAATGGTTTGGAAGCCATTTTTTGTAATGAATAAATGTTCATGCTGTACAGTATCTGTAGCATGCAGTTCTGGATTAATAAAAGCAACTTAGTATGTGCAGAAAATGGCTTGTCAACTCATTTATGCATTGACTGTATTTCACTCTGGACAAAAAGATTTACAGCTTGAGTGGAAAACTTCCTTTAAAAAAGATTTTATGAAAATCATTGCAACTTGCAGCCAACTCTACTTGCGAGAAATCCTCTGTTTCCTTTGTGTTCTCAAGCTGCCGCCTGCTAAATTCATTTTGCACTAGCCCTCTCCCTGCTCAAAGCTTTTGTTGCAATGGCTGAAAAAAGTTTTTTTTAAAGGAAATGGCACGTGATTTGGCAAAAGACAAAACAGCACGTGAGCTGAAGTAATGTCATCCCTCTGTGAAGGAATCCTGACTGGGGGACAGGAGGCCAGGGCTGATGATGCCTCCTTTAATTTTAAAACATTTTTTATTTGACCTGATGATCCCACAACACAGGGTTGATGCACTATAAAGGTAACACAGGAGAGCTTAGGTAGCCCTAATTAGTCTGAGTCCCTATCCTGGCCTTAGGATTTATCTCCTGGGTAGATTTGAGGCCGTTTTTGCATATATCTATCTGTGGGTTTTTTTTGTTTTTTTTTTTTTAAATGCAACGAGCCCTTGCAGCACAGCCTACTCTCAACGCTGAGCATCCAGCATCCACCTGCCACAGCAATGGCTGTGGATGCTGCAGGATGAGAGTGGACTTAAATCCAGGAATTTTTATAAAATGGCTGATTTGTTTCTTTTTGTTTTATTTTTTTAAACTGAGTAGAGATTTAAGATTCATAATTTCCAGGAACCTCTCACAAGTGGCTGCCGCCATAACCCAGTTATTTGGAAAATCTCAGCTGTGGTAATTTCTACATTGGCACTCCAGGGCAATGGAATGCAAAGGTCTCGGAACAGGCATGTTCCCTGCTGTCCTGACAGTGTATTGCTCAGGTGATGCACTTGTCTTCAGTCAGTCTTGATGGTCTCTGCAGGAAGTGTAAGTGTTCTTCCTCGTATGGGAAAACAGAGGTGAAGTGATCTTCTGCAGAGATGTGGGAATGGGGCCATTTCGGGGAGCCTAGCACTGGTGCTGAGACCGTGCTGTCCTCCTCTGCGGGGTCCGATAAAACCAGAACTGTCTGCAAAGCCGTTGGTTGTTGGCTGCAGGAGGAATTCAATTTATACAGGGGCTGAAAGGTACTGGATGAAGTACTAAATAATCTTTAAACGGAATATATAGTACTTTAAATTGCTACCACTTTTGTTAATGACAAGCCAGAAGACTTTTTTTGTTTCAAACATGTTAAAGGACAGTATAATGTATATTACTTCATATTTCTTATTAGGAGGATTAAGTCATGGTGATTTTTTTTGCCAGGCTCCATTTATCTCCTTTGATCCAAGGCCTGATGCTGTTTCTGTTGTGGTCTGCCACCACACTCCCCTAGACTTGAGTGGAACATGTCCCCTTGTCACCGTGACAGGCATGTGGGCAGCACGGGTGGGATGGGGTTCTGTGACGGGGAAAAGGGATGTTGCTGCGAAGCCTTTGTGGAAGATGCCAAGTCTGGCTGTTGTTGGTAGCCAGCAAAGTGAACAGGATGCTCAAATTACACTCCTGCTGTTCCAGGTTTCTAGGGAATATTTTTTTTTTCTTTCTCCTAAATGTTTTGACTCTTGCTAGAGCATGGCCATCCATCAGACACATGTGCTGGATCTCTGCTGGGGATAACTGCTCTCTTCTAATGTAAAACATGGTTCTCTGGGGAGATCTTTGAATGCCATGATTCAAAGGAGACACCACCAAGGTACAATTTATATATTCAGCAAAATAACGTGTTCGCTGCTCACTGCTTTATTAGCAAGCCTTTGGAAAGCAGAGTCCAAAAACACTGTTCCTGGACAAATTGGTTTTCCTTCTGTGTGTGCACTGAGAGAGGAATGTATTCAAAAGATAGGTTGAACAGAACTCATGAGTGGTGGATAACTTGTGCTGGGAACTCTTGTTTGCAGCGGAAAACAATTGCATATTCCCGGGTAAGCGACCGCTTGGGTTTCCTGTAGGTTGTGCATTGGCTGTATCCCTTGATGGGCTTATGCCTTCAGATTTGCCTCCAAATTTCCCTTGCTTCAAGGGCCTGAGCTGGGTCAAGGCTCCTGGGGGAAGTTACTATTATTTATATATAGTCCCTTTGTGTCCAGGAGGGCAAGGACTCCCTTGGACCAGGTACACTGGAAACATGGTGGAAAGACAGCCCTTCCCATATACCCTGGGTGTAAAACAGGGTGAGTGACTGCTACACGGCCAGATATGTGAGGGCAACCTCCAGAGCAGGGCGGTGACAAACTGGCTTGCTTTGTCCTTGTGCAGGGCTGCCACGGGACAGCATGGGGCCGCATGTCCAGTAGGTAATTCACTGTAGCTATTGCTTCCATCTGTTTTTATGGGACAAGGCAATGAAGCAAGTCAATGTACTGCATGTTCAGGAGACATTTATTTTCCATTAGTTTTGTAAATCTCATTTTTCACTTAGTGTATGGAATTTTAAAAAATTGAAGCAATTGCTGACTCAATAAAGCAGTGCCACATGGTTTTAAGCTTTGCTTAAAAGAAAAAAAGGAAAGGCAGGAAAATAAGAGCAATCTTTAGGGTCCTGTTCATTTCATTAGGCCATAAAAAGATGTAAAGGAAATTCATAGTTAAATCGTTGTGTGGGCCACTGCTACAATCATGAAAGCAAACAATAATAATAAAAATAAAAATGAATGTGTGTGACAGTGCTACCCAGCTATGTCTGGTGTACACATAGGAATGCTTTACCACCCAAGACTCTGGGTAAAGATTTTGGATGCTCTTTTGGGAGAGATGCTCCAGCTGAAGACTAAATTCAGTACAGGACCAACACTGAGCTTCAGGTTTCTTTGTTGGACAGGAAGGCTAAAGCTCTTGGAGCCCTACAACTATGAATATGCAAATTTGCTCAGATATTGTAGCAGTTGCCATATTGTAAAAAGAAGAGTGGACAGCTACATTGGCATTCATTTTAAGATGTTATTGGAAAACATCTTGAGAATTTTAAGGCAGATCAGCTACAAGTGAATGCATCCCAAACACCCATCATTATCAATAATGTCACCAGCCCATTTTAAGGACTCTGAGGACAGGAGTCTGCCAGCCCCTGGA